GGATTTTTGCTCACCGTTCTTGTGATCATTTTGACCCCACGGGGTGAGATCTTGCGTGGAGCCCCAGATCGAGGGAGATTATCAGTGGTCTTGTATGTCTTCCATTTCCTAATAATTGCTCCCACAGTTGATTTCTTCAAACCAAGGTGCTTACCTATTGCAGATTCAGTCTTCCCAGCCTGGTGCAGGTCTACAATTTTGTTTTTGGTGTCCTTTGACAAAACTCTTTGGTCTTGGCCATAGAAAAAAGGGATTTTTTAACCTTTTTTTTTAATAGATTTAATTTGAAAAAGGTCAAAAAGAAAAATATTTGTAGTAGTACTGTTATTAAAAATCAGACAGACATCCTAAAATCGTAATCAACCAGTTTTACGAAAAGCCTTGTATTTCCCTTTTTTCACAATAAAGGTATTGAAAAATAAAACCCAACTGAAAGCATGGGTGGTTTATCATACACTAAAACCAAATCAATTAAGGATAAAGGCTACTGTATCACTTGGTAATAAACCACCATCGAGTGTGGCCAAAAGCGATCCTGTTTAGTCTTTAATCCGTAATTTACTTAGGCCGATTCACTCTAAACTGCGCGTGCGCGGTTTGCGCGTAGGCCGAAACTGCGTGGCCCCCTTGGTGCTGCGCGCAGAGAAATATCAACAAGAGGAGCACGATGAACTTCAGTCACACTTTCTAGTTTTCCGTTAGTTAACACTATCAACTTCCCTTTACTGTAATTGTGATCGAATCACGCAATATTACCACTTTCAATGCTACCTACCGAAACAGAACGAACTATGCAAGAGATTTTGTTGTAGGCAGAAGCTCGGAGTAGGATTCCATTGCGCAAGACTTAGCCCTTTACTCTACACAGCCATTGCCATAGATGGGTTCCTTCCATTTACTTTGACTGGACTGTGTTTCCGCTGTGGTATTGAGTAGATGCACTTTTTTGGAGATCAAGCAGAGCTGCATGTAGCCACATGTGCACATTTTGTTCATATCCTTTGCTAGTTAGTGAGTTATTAGCCCAGTTACAGATCATTTGTAGTCAGCAATAGAGGAGTGATTGTTCCACAAGAGTACAAAACGTGTACATCTCTAGAATCTTGAAAAAGCCAGTCAGGTGAATAGCTTTTTTTTTGTCGTAAAGGGGCAGTGTTATATTTTTGCTTGAATAAGCTAAGTAGCCAATAGGCAGAGGGTAGCATAATTTGTTACTGTAAACGTAGGGATAACAGAAAGGGTTTCTTTACAACAAAAAATTTCAGCGTCTTGAGACAAGATATGCTGTTTGTAGTGACCAAAACTTTATTTCCACATAGTGCAAATGAATGAAAAAAATCCTTGATGGATTTTCTACATTTTTTTTCCCAATTTGTCTATATATTGACGTGCTAACATGATGTAACTACAGGGCCTCTCATCGCTTAAGTGGGGAATTTCACAATGGTGCCGACAATACTTTTTTCCAATTATAGGCTACTGTATCAATCAATCAATAATTTATTCGTTCATGTCATCACACAGAATAGCATTTTAGTTTTTAAATAAAATAACAAAGCTACCATTGGAATATCTCCCGTAAACAACAAATAGGCCTAAACCGTTCCATTTCGGAAATTGCATTCACAAATGAATGCGACTGTTTTTAGTCTTTGCTGTAATAAAGGCTTTACAAAAAAACTTTACAACAGACTATCTTATAATTTATTTTGTGTTGTTTACATTGTTCCAAACGCATAGCTGCAGGAAGTAGTTTGGGGGTGCTGCGATTTAGGGGGTGCAGATGTCTTTTTTTGCCACTGCTGAAGATGTTTTTATCGGTCCACTAATACAGGACTAGTAAAGGCCCAGTGCACTAATTTTGTGAAAAAAAAAGTAACTAAATGTTTTTGAGTGTTTACCAAGTCTGACAATTATCTGTACAAAACAGTTAATCTGATAATACTTGTAGAATATAAAAACACTTGCTTGATATACAGTACCAGTCAAAAGTTTGGACACACCTACTCATTCCAGGGTTTTTCTTTATTTTACTATTTTCTACATTGTAGAATAATAGTGAAGACATCAAAACTATGAAATAACACATATGGAATCATGTAGTAACCAAAAAAGTGTTAAACAAATCCAAATATATTTTATATTTGAGATTCTTCAAAGTAGCCACCCTTTGCCTTGATGACAGCTTTGCACACTCTTGACATTCTCTGAACCAGCTTCATGAGATAGTCACCTGGAATGCATTTCAATTAACAGGTGTGCCTTGTTAAAGTTAATTTGTGGAATTTCTTTCCTTCTTAATGTGTTTGAGCCAATCAGTTGTGTTGTGACATGGTAGGGGTGGTATACAGAAGATAGCCCTATTTGGTAAAAGACCAAGTCCATATTATGGCAAGAACATCTCAAATAAGCACAGAGAAATGACAGTCCATCATTACTTTAAGATATGAAGGTTAGTCAATCCAGAAAATTATTTGAACTTTGAAAGTTTCTTTAAGTGCAGTCGCAAAAACCATCAAGCGCTATGATGAAACTGGCTCTCATGAGGACTGCCACAGGAAAGGAAGACCCAGAGTTACCTCTGTTGCAAAGGATAAGCTCATTAGAGTTACCAGCCTCAGAAATTGCAACCCAAATAAATGCTTCACAGAGTTCAAGTAACAGACACATCTCAACATCAACTGTTCAGAGGAGACTGCATAAATCAGGCCTTCGTGGTCGAATTGCTGCAAAGAAACCACTACTAAAGGATACCAATAATAAGAAGAGACTTGCTTGGGCCAAAAAAAAATGAGCAATGGACATTAGACCGGTGGAAATCTGTCCTTTGGTCTGATGAGTCCAATTTGAGATTTTTTGTTTCAACCACCGTGTCTTTGTGAGACTCAGAGTAGGTGAACAGATGATCTCTGCATGTGTGGTTCTCAACGTGAAGCATGGAGGAGGTGGTGTGATGGTGTGGGGGTGCTTTGCTGGTGACACTGTCTGTGATTTATTTAGAATTCAAGGCGCACTTAACCAGCATGGCTACCACAGCATTCTGCAGCGATACACCATCCCATCTGGTTTGGGCTTCGTGGGACCATCATTTGTTTTTCAACAAGACAATGACCCAACAATCCCCCGACCTCAACCCAATTGAGATGGTTTGGAATGAGTTGGACCGCAAAGTGAAGGAAAAGCAGCCAACAAGTGCTCAGCATATGTGGGAACTCCTTCAAGACTATTGGAAAAGCATTCCAGGTAAAGCTGGTTGAGAGAATGCCAGGAATGTGCAAAGCTGTCATGTATAAAATATATTTTGAATTTGTTTAACCGTTTTTTGGTTACTACATGATTCCATGTGTTATTTCATAGTTTTGATGTCTTCACTATTATTTTACAATGTAAAAAATAGTAAAAATAAAGAACAACCCTTGAATGAGTAGGTGTGTCCAAACTTTTGACTGGTACTGTATGTTTTCCAGTTTGTTTTTTAAATATGTAATTCTATGTGAAAAGGGAAATGGTCTATTAATTTCTTTTCCATTTAGTAGATGCTCTTATCCAGAGCAACTTACAGTAGTGAGCGCATACATTTTTATACTGGTCCCCCTTGGGAATTGAACCCACAACCCTAGCATTGCAAGCACCATGCTCTACTAACTGAGCTACATCATCACATCGTCACAAACCACTTGATGTCTCAATGTACTCAATTACTGTATTGTGAAAGTCTAGGTACAAACCTAAATGACCAGCCTATGTACAATACAGTAGTGCACATTTACATTAAGTGGTTTATAAGGATGGTAAATTAATACTGCACAAAATGTGGTTGTTTTCCATGTTATTTGATCAAGAAAAATATTTTATTTGATGCGGAAGTTTTGTGTCTTTGCCCATAACTTTGCACCTTTTGATGTAAATGTTTGAGGACAGGGTTTTGTTCTTTCTGGATTCCATTAGAATGACAATCACAGAGAAACAGAGAGGGCAACAACTCTTACAATTCCAACTATTGAATCCTGCGAGATACTGTTCTTTATTACACAACTACCTTTTTTGCCAAGTGGAGATGCTGAAAATAATAATAATACTTTTTCAAAAAAATATTATTTAAATTATTATTAAAAAAATATATTCTGATTTTTCAGGGGGGGTTTCAGCACCCCTACTCCCCGCGGCTATGGTCCAGAACACCCCCCGCCCCCGTTGGCGATAAAAATGTACAGCACCCCTCACCCCCAAACTGCTCCTACAACAAAAACATGTGTATCTTATCTTAAGTTTAGGTAGTGACTCCCTGTTTTTTAGTCTGTTTTCTTCCGTTTGATGCCTAATGAATACGACCCTCCATTTTGCAGGGCCAGCGTTCAATCTGTTCCTGAGGTTGTGCGACTTCCAGCTGGGGCCGTTTGTGGTGAACAACTACACCTCTCCCGGGGTAAACACCAGCATCCAGATAATCTATCCTCTCAGGTTCTCCCACTACAGCTCTATGCTTCATGAATACTAAACCACAGACATCCATTTAGCTCCCATGCATGTACCTTCAATCTCCTGTTCAGAGTTAGCGGGTACATTAACACTGTAGCCTATACAGTATGATTTTATTGACATTGCATACTTACAGTGCATTCGGAAAGTATAAATAAATAAGTAAGGTATTCTTTTTATTTTTATTAGCAAACATTTCTTAAAACCTGTTTTCGCTTTGTCATTATTGGGTATTGTGTGTAGATTTATGAGGAAAAAATGAATTTAATCAATTTTAGAATACGGATGTAACGTAACAAAATGTGGAAAAAGTAAAGGTGTCTGAATACTTGCACTGTATATATACATATTTTATAAAACCAATGGAAACATTTGAGAACATTATAAAAATTCCTTAAACACTGCACACTCAACACACTCACAAATTAAAATGCTGACATAAAAATATTTTACTTGCTCTACCATCTCAACCATCTTGCACCCCTACCCCCTCTCCCCCCCCCCCCCCCCCCCTCTTCCAGATCTTCATGTGTCTGATGTGGATCCTGCTCCAGTTTGTGGTGCTGGCTCTGTACTGGGACATACCACCTATCAGCTCCGGAGAGGGGGGTATCGCTGTGGGAGAGATCGAGGAGGAGGAGCCGCTGGTAGGGGCCGAGGAAACACTGGAGACCTACGGCACTGTCTGGGACGACCAGATAGAGACAACAATTTCCTCAGAGATCCACCCTTTCCAGGACCCTTCACAGTGCCCTCCCTCTCCACCTTCCTCTCCCCCTCCCTCGCCCCCTCCTTCGACTATCTCAAACCCCTTCACAATTTTCAGTGCTAGTCAAGGTGAGTGGAGAGATCTGTGATGTGATTGGCCTAATTGACTTCCCCCAGAGTAGGATAGAAAACAGCACTTGAATCAGACTATTCTTTTAGGGATACTATGGTTGGTGCATGTGCCTTTATGTGTCTTAATGTGTTTAAAAACATTTTTTTTTAAATAATGTGTTGGTCATTGTTGTGTGTGCTGTCATTGTAAGTCATTGATGATGCATGCTGTGATTGAACAATTTCCCAAGTTGGGATTAATAAAGTAATACTCTACTCTCTCTCTACTCTACTCTTTAGACATGTGTATTGTTAGTTTATCACCATCTTATCTGTTGAGTTGTCACTGTCTATTAGTGCATGTTAGTTGTCTCCTGTATCGATTCTGTCTCTCAAGTATATTTTATGTGCCAGCTTGTGTGTGTGTGTGTTCCCCATTCTCTCTATTGAGGAGTTCATGAAGGGTGAATCTTGTGTGGCATGTCAGATCAGATTTCCTCAGTATCGAGGAAATACTACACGCGTGTCATGTCTGGTGTATGTCAGCATGTGTGTATGTGTGTTTGTTTGTGTGTGTCAGTGTATATGTTTGTGTGTGTGTGTGTCACATCACTCGTATTGAGTCTCTCTCTCTGTGTGTATAGATGTTTGGAAGGAGAAGGTGGTATGTATGTTGGACTTCCTCTTTAATTGACTCTATGCCTGTGTTGAGTTTTGTGGGCGAAAGGGAGACTAAATTCTGAATGCTGCAATTATTCTTTATTATTGATTCTGCCTGTCTGTAGCCCATTCTGTAGTGGGTTTTAGGGCGATGGAAGGAGAGTTGTGAATGTAAAGCCTATCAACTTTGTATGTGGTAAATATTCTCATTCATGGCCTTTCCAGCTTTGTTGAGTTTTCGAGGAAGGTTGAAGTATGCCTGCATATGTGGTGAACATACATTTTTATGGATTCTCTTACTTCTCTCTCTCTCTCTCTCTCTCTCTCTCTCTCTCTCTCTCTCTCTCTCTCTCTCTCTCTCTCTCTCTCTCAGAGTTTCTGAGGGAGGAGGTGGTGGTGCTCCTCACTGCTCAGTTCATCACCCTCTTCAACCAGACAGCACTGGAGGTAAGAGCAGCTGCACAACTGTAGTTCTCGCAGCAACAGCCTAAACATAGACGCCATCTTTTTTTGTTGCATCCTAACCATATCAAATGCCTAACCCTAACCTTATTTCAAGACCTGAAAGCTTATTTTCATGTTCATAAGTTTTCACAATATAATTTTGACTTTACACCTAGTTCATAGAGTGGAAACTGGGAACTCTTTCCCATCAAGAGGTAAACAAATAGTGATGTAATTCCCTGTCTTCCTCTCTCTCCCCAGAACATGGTGACTACCCTGACATAGTGATGTAATATCCTGTCTTCCTCTCTCTCCCCAGAACATGGTGACTACCCTGACATAGTGATGTAATATCCTGTCTTCCTCTCTCTCCCAGAACATGGTGACTACCCTGACATAGTGATGTAATTTCCTGTCTTCCTCTCTCTCCCCAGAAAATGGTGACTACCCTGACATAGCAATGTAATTTCCTGTCTTCCTCTCTCTCCCCAGAAAATGGTGACTACCCTGACAGCGATGTAATTTCCTGTCTTCCTCTCTCTCCCCAGAACATGGTGACTACCCTGACATAGTGATGTAATTTCCTGTCTTCCTCTCTCTCCCCAGAACATGGTGACTACCCTGACATAGTGATGTAATTCCTCATGTCCCCATTCCCCTTCCTCTCTAGACCATGGTGACACCTCTGACCCAGCGCTCCTTTGGCTTCGGAGAGCTTGCCAACAGCCTGATGTACAGCCTGTGTGGCGTTGAGGTGATCCTGGGCTTTTTCTTGGTGCGCTGGCTCAGCCGCCAGGTGGAAGACCGCGTGGTGCTTGCCGTGGGGCTGGTCATCTGCAGTGTAGCCTGCGTCTGGTGCCTCATCTTCCTGGCCAACCCCCAGGGTGAGTGGGTGGGAACCTAGAGGCTGATCTTGGGTCAGTTTAGCATTTTCCCCACTAATGGTTAATGTTAGGATTGGGGGAGGGGAAGCTGATCCTAGATCTGTACCTAGGGTAAACACCCCGGAGCGAGTGGCTGAGAGAGTATGTACCACCACCGTCTGTGTATGACATGTCATTCCGTACCCAGGGTTGGTATGAGACTCCTGGGGTGGATAGGGTGGTGAGGTGGCTATGAAGGTATTAATGATAGATCTGTAAGTGATATACAACCCACCACTTGGAGGCACATGAAGACCACACATATAAGCAAGCAGACACACACACACACACACTCACGCACACACACACACACCTCTTTTCCCAGAGGGAGTTGTAGTAGTAGAATTTCAACCATGTCACCAACGATCATCCATCTGACTGAGGTTGTGTCTCTTCCTGTGTCCAGGTGGGTACTCCTGGGAGTTGACAACGTTCATCATCGGAGTGTTCCTGCAGCTGCTGGGGCTTCCCTTCGTGGCCGTGTCCCAGGTGTCTCTTTTCTCCAAAGTCACTGCAGAGAAAACACAAGGTGGGTGTCTGACTTACATGGCCACCGTTTGACTCATGACATAGCAGTTTGACAGCGAATCACTCCTGTTAGGTCAGCGAATGTGATCATTGCATGTATTGGTTCATTGAGCTGGACTCACCGTAGTGCTAATTTATGATGACGTTTAGACATGTTATTTCTAGAAGGAATACAAATATTAATATTAAAGATTGATTTAAATAAGATAATGAAATATTTTAGCTTTGTTTTTGTTTTATTACCTTCTGAAAATAAAAGGTGCCAACAATGCACTTGTGTGAAGGCTTAGTTAATCATAGTAAATCAGGCTCTTTGACTAACCCCCCTAGGCAATGAGGCTGTGACTCATAGCAATGCTGAGAATGATTAGGGGAATGATCATTAACTATCACTAAATGGCCATTTGTTTTACAGGAAGGAGAGGTCATTAATCATTCAAATGACTGGGATTGTGTTTGTGTGTGTGTTCCTGGTGGTGTCTAGGGTTCAGTCAAGGTGTGAGGCGCTCTGTTGGGGGGCTGGCTACTATCCTGGGGCCTCTCTGGGCTGGAGGACTGACCGGTAACTTATACCTGATGCTTGGAATGATGCTGGCTCTTCTCCTCATGATCACAGTGAGTAGTCACAGTGTGTGTGTCTATTCAAAACCCATTATACATTTAAAGAGGTTATGATCTATCAATCTATGAATTTCATTCACTAGGATTTAGTACCTCACTACTTTTTCAAGTGGCGCATGTTAGCCACATTTGATTATGCTTTTTGTGGTTAGCATGCACACTTTTACAATTTAACAATGGATTGTTATTTCCAGGTGATGCTGATACTATCCTATGATCGCCTGGTTGAACCCAAGGTAGTGCAGCACGCCCAGAGCTCAGACAATGGAGAATAGACCAGGGTCATGTTCAGACGGGAGAAAATGTTTTGAAATGAGGAGGCACTACCTGAACTTGTCCAATAAGAACACAGCTTCTGGGTTTCCGTTGCAACACGTTTTGCTACAGTGTACACTACTGAACACGTCCCTGCTGTCAACTTGAATGACAACTGAAGCCCTAATAAAGGTCAAAGGTGAGGTGGTGTGACACATACAGTATATCTCCCAACTACTATGAGAATGTCAATGAATGCACATGACAATGAAGGTGGTGTGTGTCTAAACGCCGCAATGCAGAAGAGATCCAACCAATGACCTATAGGCTTATCTAACCCACTTTAAAGCTCTGTGGAGTCTATTTTACGGTCACACTTTATTTGGATAGTCTGGTCACTCTATCAACAAACTATCTGTTGATAAGCAACTGCTTGCTAAGGTTACGGTTAGGGTTAGGTTTAGAATAAGGGTTAAGGTAAGGGTTTGGGTTAGGGTAGGGGTTAAGTTTAGGGTTAGGATAAGGGTTAAGGTTAGGGTTAGAGTTAGTACATAGTTAGTTGAAATGTTACTGATAGTCTGTAGATAGTCTGTAGACCATCTACAGATGGAGTATTCAAATAAAGTGTTACCCATTTTCCTATCCCAACATTAATCTTTGCACTATTTAGCAAACTTGTTTGAAATATAAATGTAGTTGCTTGTAGTGTTTCTGTAGTAGATATAATATTTTATATCTAGCAAAAGATGTAAACATAAATCTAAAACATGGTATTAAGGATGTACACAAGGGGGCACCGTTGCTCTCTGTTTAAATGATGTTAATGATGTTGAATAAATCAAGTTTTCAAAACCGCTATTTATAGTGGACTTGTGAGTGGAGAACATTTGTGTTTTCATATACAGTTGAAGTCGGAAGTTTACATACACCTTAGCCAAATACATTTAAACTCAGTTTTTCACAATTCCTGACATTTAATCCTAGTAAAAATTCCCTGTTAGGATCACCACTTTATTTTAAGAATGTGAAATGTCAGAATAATAGTAGAGAGAATGATTTATTTCAGCTTTTATTTCTTTCATCACATTCCCAGTGGGTTAGAAGTTTACATACACTCAATTAGTATTTGGTAGCATTGCCTTTAAATTGTTTAACTTGTGTCAAACGTTTCGGGTAGCCTTCCACAAGCTTCCCACAATAAGTTGGGTGAATGTTGGCCCATTCCTCCTGACAGAGCTGGTGTAACTGAGTCAGGTTTGTAGGCCTCCTTGCTCGCACACGCTTTTTCAGTTCTGCCCACAAATGTTCTATAGGATTGAGGTCAGGGTTTTGTGATGGCTACTCCAATACCTTGACTTTGTTGTCCTTAAGCCATTTTGCCACAACTTTGGAAGTATGCTTGGGGTCATTGTCTATTTGAAAGACCCATTTGAGACCAAGCTTGAACTTCCTGACTGATGTCTTGAGATGTTGCTTCAATAGATCCACACCATTTTCCTTCCTCATGATGCCATCTATTTTGTGAAGTGCACCAGTTCCTCCCTCCTCACAGCATGATGCTGCCACGCCCGTTCTTCACGGTTGGGATGGTGTTCCTCGGCTTGCAAGCATCCCCCTTTTCCCTCCAAACATAACAATGGTCATTATGGCCAAACAGTTCTATTTTTGTTTAATCAGACCAGAGGACATTTCTCCAAAAAGAACAATCTTTGTCCCCATTTGCAGTTGCAAACCGTAGTCTGGCTTTTTTATGGAGCAGTGGCTTCTTCCTTGCTGAGTGGCCTTTCAGGTTATGTCGATATAGGACTCGTTTTACTGTGGGTATAGATACTTTTGTACCTGTTTCCTCCAGCATCTTCACAAGGTCCTTTGCTGTTGTTCTGGGATTGATTTGCACTTTTCGCACCAAAGTACGCTCATCTCTAGGAGACAGAACGCGTCTCCTTCCTGAGCGGTATGACGGCTGCATGGTCCCATGGTGTTTATACTTGCATACTATTGTTTGTACAGATGAACGTGGTACCTTCAGGCATTTGGAAATTGCTCCCAAGGATGGACCAGACTTGTGGAGGTCTACAATTTTTTTTCTGATTTATTTAGATTTTCCCATGATGTTAAGCAAAGAGGCACTGAGTCTGAAGGTAGGCCTTGAAATACATCCACAGGTACACCTCCAATTGACTCAAATGATGTCAATTAGCCTATCAGAAGCTTCTAAAGCCATGACATCATTTTCTGGAATTTTCCAAGCTGTTTACGGGCACAGTCAACTTAGTGTATGTAAACTTCTGAGCCACTGGAATTGTGATACAGTGAAATAATCTGTCTGTAAACAATTGTTGGAAAAATTACTTGTGTCATGCACAAAGTAGATGTCCTAACCGACTTGCCAAAACTATAGTTTGTTAACAAGACATTTGTGGAGTGGTTGAAAAACAAGTTTTAATGAACGGAAACCTCAGACTTCAACTGTATGAGCAATGTACCCATGCTAGCTTCCTTTAATCTTTCCTTTATAGATACTGTTGTGCCAGGAGGAGTGCCCTTCACCTCTCGATTTTAGTCCTCTTAGATCAGTGCATATGTAGATAGATATTCAAGATAGCCAAGGGTATATGGAGGAAGGAAGAGAATGGAATAGCAAGTACCATTAGTAGTCAGGCAACCCAGAGGTATCGTAGATCAGAATAAATAACAGAAGAAACTCTATGTAGAGAGGAAGTGCATATTTGTATCTGTGTTTTGGATATTTGAACATGTGCTTCGTAATGTACATTTGTAAACATTTACAATGGTCAACAAACTATAGAGTTTCACATATACAGTGAGATTTACTCTATAATGTTTAGCAATCAAAACTAAAAAACAAGCATTGTTCAATTAGTGGTGCTACTGCAGTGAAATACTGTATAGTCTATTTAAAGGGATACTTCAGGATTTTGGCAATGAAGCCCTTTATCTACTTCCCCAGTCAGATTAACTTGTGGATTCAATTTGTATGTCTCTGCATGCAATGTGAAGGAAGTTCACTAGTGTTAGCGCAATTGCTAAGTAGTGTTAGCACAATGACTTGAAGCAAGCTAGTAGATACTATAGACTTCCAGTCGTTGCGCTAATACTAGTTAGCATTGGCTCACTGAACTACCTCTAACTTCCTTCATACTGGATGCAGATACTGTACATAAAAATGGTATCCATGAGTTCATCTGACTCTGGATTAACATAGTATTGTCAAAATCCCGAAGTATCCATTTAATCATAAACTGTCCAAAATGTGCCACTAGGGAGCACTGTGTGCTCTGCAGAAAAGCAGAATGCTTGGAGCACTATTGAGGAGAGGATCTGTAGATCTGCTGTACACAAATGCCCATGGTCTCCCATTTCCGCTGAGTTAGACCATGCTATCAGATAAGGCTTGGTAACCTTTACAATGTTCTAATACTGCTAGCATGGCGTGTTTAGCATATGTCAGGGGAGGTATTCATGAAATGGGAAAACATAGGCAAACATTATACAACCATGTGTTTACTGTAGGTCTAGTACTTCTATACCCTGCTCAGGACAGGCAATGTTCTTGACCTTTGAATAAAGATAAGGGGGGACAAATTCTTTGTTTTAGAACAAGCTAGCCTTGTCGACAACATCATGTTTGGTAATTGTCACATCAATGCATTTACTATGGAACTTAAGCCTGAATTCAATCAATTGCAGGTAGAGGAAAAAATGCAGGTTCCGTCAGAATGTAATCACTGTAATCATCGATTGGAGGTGTAATTACCCGCATTAAAAACACAACACACCCAACAAGCTGTTCCACTCACAGACATTATCATTGAATATTGATGCGAAACCATACCTGTCCTTAAAGGGATAGTTCACTGTTTTGAAGCTAAAACAAAAAAGTGAACTATCCCTTTAAAATGTATTATAAACATTATGAGTGAATGCGCAGGGTAGTTTCCTTTTTTATTGATTTGGGGCCTTAGTTTTAAACAGATACATCCAAAAATAGATCCAGTTACCTTTACTTATTGAAATAATTCATGAATACAGATGAAATGCCACCATATTTAACTTTTGTAGCCCTTTCCTGCAGTCAAATGACCAAATCGCCCTCTAGTGGGTGGAATGTTATTAATATTTTTCATAATTTCATAATTAATAAACATTATTAAACAAAACAGCTGAAAATCCAGTGTTACTATGTCAAACAGTTTTATTATATTTCAGTGTTCTGTAATGTATATAAAGCGTAATATTGGGACACAAACTCAAAATGTAATACATTTCAACTCTATATCTCTTGGTACAGGTGTCTTCTTTTTTAAGCCCATAACCATGTGTGTGAGGTGTATACTTTTGTTTCAAAGTAGATTTGTTTAAGACTACCAAGAAACACTCTGTGTGACCCTGATTTAGCCCACTGCAGTAAAAGGTTAAAGATAGATTGTACTTTCCACTCCTCAAAATGTGAGGGAAATCCGCTCAAGTTTTAATAATACCTGGAAGAATTAGTGATGCACAGGTGTAGGCTATAATCCTGTGATCAGATTTATGAAATATTTGTTGTTGTTTCCATCTGGACTCTATAACAGTCTACAGGTGACTAAAATGGGAAAAGTCCATGCCCTTGTGCTCGAATCTTACATTTACCCTGATGGATTCAAAGTTACTTGAGTTATGAATTATTAAAGGGCCTACACGGAAGAGCCATTTGAGGCTCAGAACCGAAAGTGATT